GTCTGGGCGACAGGGTGAGACTCCAACTCAAAAAAAAAAAAAAAAAAAAAATGTGTGGTGTCCCAGGAAATAGAATTGGATTGAAAAGTGTTGAAATCCTCTTAAAGAGGTAAGAATGAGCTCTCTACTGCCTTATCTTTCTGCTCCCATTGATAAAAAGGAAAGTACAGACCAAAAGCAATGACTTAAAAATAGCAGTACCAACGATCACAAAAGAAATCAGGGGCTGATAATGTGGTGATACATATGACAAATATTTTCTAAGGAGGATAGCACAGATATATTTTTTAACCATGAGTGACATAGCCGGCTTCTGTTTATACGGTGCCTGCAAAAATTGAACTACAAAAAAAAAGGACTAGATTTTCATTTCATTTATTTTTCTCTCTGATTTTTGTGGGAAAAAAATCCAAAAAGTACAAAGTATAATATACAAGTACTTATATACAAGCCATCAAAAAAAGCAATGAAAGTTAACATTTTGCCATATTTGCATCACAATTTTAATTTTTGTAAGAAAAGCATTGCAGATAAAGTGTAAACTCCCTTTGCTTTTGTCTTTGTTTTTTTTTCTTTTGTTTTCTTTCTATTCTCTTGTTTCCAAAGGTTACTGCTGTGAGGAAATTGTCAGGAATCCTTCCAGGGTGTTTTTCAGAATTTTTGCCGTATATTATAATTTTACCGTTATAAAATACGCTATGTAAGAGTGTTATGTTGTATATTTTGAAATTTCAACAAATAGTATCATAATCAACAATCTGAATAGATAAGTCACTATTTACTTTCTGATAATGGATTTTTTATTATTTCTAATTCGTTGCTACTACAAGCAAAGATGCAGTGAATACCTTTGAATTTGTCTCTTTAAGCACATGAATCAAAGTTTCACTGGGATAATTTTCTAGAAGTGAAATTGCTGGGCCATAGGACATATGCATTATCAACTTTAGATATTGCCAAAATGTTCTCTCACATAGCTATGTCATGTTGTACTGTTTTCATCAATGCTGGAACTACCTTTCTAAAACAAATAATCCAAATATATGTTCCTTAGTTGTAGAGTTTTCCACTGCAAAATGTAACCTTTTCCCACAAGTGTCCTGTATGCTTTTTCATATATATGTATTTCCTGTACCTCCAAAAGTTCATGTGTTCAGCTTCCTAGTAAAGAACAGAACAAATATTACAAGTTTGATGTTCTTGCTCATTCAGAATACAAGGGCACAAATTTCTTTTCTTTTTTTTTTTTTGAATTGGAGTCTCACTCTGTTGCCCAGACTGGAGTGCAGTGGCCACTCCCGGCCACCGCAGCCTTGACCTGCTGGGCTCCAGTGATCCTTCCGCCTCAGCCTTCCAAGTAACTGGAACTACAGTCGCGTGCTACCACGCCCGGCTCATTTTTTATTTACTCTAGAGATGACGTCTCACTAAGCTGCCCAGGCGGGTCTCGAACCCACGGGCTCAGGCAATCCACTCACCTCAGCCTCCCAAAGCGCGGGATTACAGGCTGAGCCACCGAGCCCAGCTCTAGGGGCACAATTTTCAGCAAAACTTTACTGTGTCAAATGTTCTTTAAACTTAACTATCTTGCTTTCATTCTCAGTTTTTAAATTAATAAAATTTCTCAACTTTTCCACATTTTCATAGGTTCTGAGGGGGTTGTCTAAACACATCATGCATGCTTTTTGATATTTTTCTGCCTATTTTAAATTTTTGAATGGTAATAAAAACAAAATAACTCTTGGTGTTGGTGTTAGTTCATCTTCTTAAATTCCTTAAGTTTTTTAGATCTATAAGGTATCTAACTTAAAACTTCATTTTTGTGTCACAGATGTTAATGCAGCCTCCAAGGACAGCTTCCTGAACTTAAAATGTTGCTGTGACTCTAGATTGAAACCTGTAAAAACAGTTGCTTACTTGGAGTTCCTTCTTTCCTGCCTGGAAGAGCATCAAACCCTGTCTGATAGTTCAGTTACATAAATAATAATAATAATAATAATAACCAGCTCTTAAATGGCAACAAAGTTGTGCTAATGATGGATAATAATAATAGGGCCCCAATTAGTGTCTGGAACTTTTCTGAGAAGTTGTTTTTAGTTCCTGTTTGGCATTCGCATTCTGGTATCCTGCTTTCAAAAACTTTATTCTCTTTATTCTAGAGGAATAAACAGAAACTACATCAGATCCTCTGGCCCAATGCTGCTCTTTCAAGAAACTCAGAATTTAAATGTTAACTCTTAACAGCACAGACCAGAAAGAGCTGAGAATTGTGTGGAGCCAAATGTAAAGGCACTGGGCTTCAATCTCCCCAGAGAACCTTGGTAGGAGGTGTTGGTCAGCTTGAGAATTTGCTTGCTGCAACTATGTATTGTGATGGCTTGACATCTAGGGTATTTATGAAGCTATTATTTGGGGCTTTTTTAAATAGTTGGGTGAAATGGACAGAATCAGATTTGTGTTCTGAAAGACCCCTCTTGCTACAGATTAGAGAATAGGTTGGAGGGGTCTGGAGAGACCACAGGGAGATCAATGAAGAGGCTCTGTACCTCAGATGAGAAAGGAGGCAAGGAAATGGGAAAGGAAGCTTCTTTGGGCTAACGTGGGTAACAGAAAAGAAAAAAGAGATGGATGCACTTGAAAAGTATTTAGGAGGCCAATTCAACTGGATTTGGTGATGGCCGGTCTCTGGTGCTGAGGGTAAGAGCAGTACCCAGATCAAATGAGTTTCTTCAACTCTGGGTATGCAGTTATGGGATGTAAGGAGGTGCATGGGATTCTTGTTACAGCTTCATATAAAGTGTTTTAATATCAGTATTAGCTGAAGCCAGGGAAGACCAATCTTATGTCATGTGCGACATCCTGTGGTATTGGCAAAAGCCTTGACAACCTGTTTAATATTGGCCAAAATCTGACAAATAGCTTTCAACATATCCTCAAGGCAAGTAGCAGTTTATTTCAGGCAGGCAAAAATTGTAGGTATACTCAGTTAAGAAAATTAGTGCTGAAACATGAGTATAGGAAGAAACACCTATGCCAGGTTTCAAGATGGACTGATGAGTGACTGATATTCCAATGAGCTAACAGTTAAGATAGACCCTACTACTTGTAAATGCTAGAGACTTTTACTTGCTGTTTAGGACATTGGCTAGAAGGGCAAAGGAGGATTTTTGTGTGTACTTCTCAAAGTGCTTTATAATAATTATCAACACTTTTTAACCCATTAAAGATTAACAGTAGTGTTTAGAGAGCCTAATAACGGTTCAGTGTTGTATCGGTTGTCGACAGCAGACTCATAGTTGAGATCTTGAATCTTAATCACTTTCTTAAAAAAGCAAAATACCCCACAACAAAAACAGAAACAACTACAGTATAATCTAACCTGAATACCTTGTCTGTCATTAGATTGTTCATGTAGTAGATGTATCTACCACATGAAGTATTTCCATTCTTTGCCATTATCCAAATACTAAAAATGTAAAGTCATTAGCCTTAAATATAATATAATCCATGAATTTCTTCATTCTTCTCAGGCTAAATTGGTTATCAGCTGTGATCACTCTGGGGTCTTTACCCAGTTGTAACTCCTGAAACAATTGTCTTTATTAGATTAATGCTTGTCTTTTATCTGTGGGGATTGTGGAACATTTGGGGGTGGAGAGAAATGAGTTCAAGAAAAGAACAAAAAAAACCTCAACTGTTCTTAAATGACTGGTAATAGTGAAAAGAAACTGTCATCACAAAGCCCCGTGGCCCCCCGGAATAGAACTACTGAGCTAAATTAATATGAATGACCATACAAATTTTGCAGCCTAAATGTAACCAGTGAGGCTTTTGATAAGACTTATTCTCATGTCTATTTGGAAAGAGAAAGCAAAAAGGCTGACTGGCAAGAGTAAGAGATGACTTTTCAGGATAATCTGGGGAAGTAGCTACCAGGATCCCACTGCTGATTTTATTTGAAAAGGTCGAGTAGTACCATGGTCCTTTTGAGAACTGTTCCCCTAAGAAACTCCTTTTTCCCCTCACTTCCTTGACTCTCCTAAGACTGGGGATGACCTTCTAGAATTGCTGTGGACATGTAACCTCATATCCCACCCCTCTAGATATCACATTCCCCCAAGTGTCTTGGATCTGAAGTGGCTTCTGGAAGGGAGAGCCGTTGTCTCTGCTGTCGGCACTGACTCTGTGTTTGCTTGTCTCTGTAGTTGTTTTGCATAAAACTTCTTTGTGCCATGCTTGTTGTGTGCTTTGAAGCAGATTTCATATTCTCAAATGATTTAAAAAGAAAATCTGCTTGAGTTGATCTAAGGTAATCCTTATCAGAACCACCTCAGTTAAGAAACTTAAAATCCACTGGAAACAGTTCTTTTTTTTCTTTCCTTTTGGAGGGCCTCTCTTTTTTGATGACTCCTCTCCTATTAGCTCCAGGTCCTGACAGCTGAAGTATTACATCTTCTGCGAGGTGAGAGTCCATTTATTTCATTTGAGTCAGAGTCTGTTTTGCCAGTTCTTTAGGGCTCCATAACTCTCCAACTGCCTGCGGTTAGGTGTCACCCAGCTTGTTGAACAGACAATTACTGCCTCCCAAATGCCTTCGAACAGTTGTGTGTTGGAGACTGGGGGCCTCTATGTGGATGTTCCAACCATGTCAGTGTAGCCTCTTCTTTCAGCTTGCTTTGTTTATACAGCAGCTCATTACTTAAGACTAGCCTGTCAAAATCAGTTAAATATTCTTTGGGAAATACGGTCACATCCTTGAGATACTACAGATATGTTTAATACAGAGAAAGATTGGCTTGATAAGAAAAACGTGATCAACTTGCATCACCCCCAAATATTTTCCTGTTATTCCAGTTGAGTTTCCACAAGCATCAATAAGCACGAGCAAACCTAAGGGCAATAAATTTCTGCAGCTGACACACAAAGACACCAAGGGAAGCAGGGAAAATGATTACTGATGATTCGTTCTAACTACTTGACCTTCTTGACCTCTTCTCCAGATATATGACCAGGATGGGACACTACAGCACTTTATTGATGGTGGGGAACCTAGTAAGTCGAGCTGGATGAGGTATATCCGATGTGCAAGGCACTGTGGAGAACAGAATCTAACAGTAGTTCAGTACAGGTAAAGTATATCTTGATTTACCACCTATAGAGCTGAAGCCATTTGGCTTGCATATACAAATTCAGGCTTGCTGCTCGCTTGTGGTTGAAAACATCCTGCAGAACTCTGCAAGAACTGGCAGACGTTTTTTTGCCAGGTTTCTGAAAACCCCCTTAGTTTTCATGACAATAATGTAATGAGCATTCAGGATTAAAGGTGCACAAGGTAAAAGTTGCTTCCACATCATTTTTTTTTTTATTTTATTTTTTTGAGTGGGAGTCTCACTCTGTCGCCCAGACTGGAGTGCAGTGGCACACTCCCAGCCACTGCAGCCTCAACTTCCTGGGCTCTGGCGATCCTTTCGCCTCAGCCTTCCAAGTAGCTGGAACTACAGGCATACGTTACCACGCCCAGCTAATTTTTGATTTATTGTAGAGACGAGGTCTCGCCAAGTTGCCCGGGCGGGTCTTGAACCCGCGGGCTCAGACAATCCATTCTCCTCAGCCTCCCAAAGTGCTGGGATTACAGGCTGAGCCACGGAGCCCGGCATCATTGTTTGAACTTCCACTATGGCCAGAATGAGCTCAGCAAATTCACTAACTTGGGATGGTTTTCCCCAGCAGATGTGTACACACAGATAAGTATGAATTCAGAGATACAGCACTGGGTCCTTTGCTTTCAGTCTCCTTCAGGGTGTTTCCCCAGGGGAGCAGTTTTATTTGCACAAAGTCACGGAAAACCTAGAAATTGCTACCTTCCCAAGGCATCCCTTTCAAAACCGTTATGCTTCACAGCAGTGATGGATCCAGGGTAGCTCTCCTGCTCCTCCAAAGGTGCCAGAGGGTTTGGCCCTCTGTTGATTCAGAATATATTTCTATGATGAGGAAATTCCAGAGCTTAGAGAAGCTCCCAGGTGGTGGGCAAAGCCCAAAGGCCAGTGAAGGCAGGGTAGAGCTATCCCCATTTCCAATAAGGAATCATACAAAGAGGCTTCTAGGCTGAGAGACAGAGGGTTTCTCCCGTGCTAAGCCATGTCTTCTCAGTGCACCTGCTGGTTAATCATTTCCACTTAGTGCTAAAGAAGGCTGGAGTGGAGACAAGAGGGCAAAAACATCAAATAGGAAAAAAGTCCTACCATAAGCCTTCTTTTCTCAAAATCCCTCGAAAACGTGCACCATATAAATATATGACCTCAGTTATAAACAGCCATGTTCCCTTTAGAATCAGAAGCAACTGTTTAGCTTTATTAGGCACCACAGACACATCAAAGCGGAGGACTCTGTGCTCAGCAACTTGGAGTACTGCCTATGGCTATTTATTTTCCTTTCCTTTTTTAAAAAAATGAAGCCTTTTTTTTCATTTTTAACTTTCTTCCTCTTGTGGGCTAAAGGCTGCACATATCTGGCTTGCTTTCTGAAGGTCTCCAATTCAAAAAGAACATATTTGGGCAGCATACAACTCACTGCCTTTGTTTCCAATGCAGTTTTATTTCATTAAATAATGGTTTACAAGAAATAGTGCAAGACAGTATTTGGTTACGTTGCTGTAGATGGGCTTTACCCGCCTTTGTAACAACTGCATTTCTGTCATGGTTTTTATAAAATCCTGAGTTAGAAAATCAGTAAAGAAGGCCAGGCTCAGTTGTTTGCACCTGTAACCTCATCACCTTGAGAGGCTGAAGTAGGAGGATAACTTAAGCCTATGAGTTCAAGACCAGTATGGGCAATGTAGCAAGAACCTTGTTTCTACAAAAAAGAAGTAAAAACGTAGCCAGGAGTGGTGGTGTATACCTGTAGTCCCAGCTACTTGGGAGGCTGAGGCGGGAGGATTGCTTGAACCCAGGAAGTTGAGTCTGTAGTGATCCATGATTGTGCCACTGCACTCCAGCTTGGGCAACAGAGCTAGATCCTGTCTCTAAAAAAATTTTTTTTAATTCAAAAAATACAATTTAGTAAAGAGTGTGTTTGTTTATGCAGCAAGAGATAGTTTGGCTCGTTCTGTAATGAGTCCCCAGAGAGCTCTTGAGGCAAATTCTGAATCTGCGAAAACAAGAGACCCCTCAGAGGAAGGTGGGCATGGGTAAGCCGTTGTCTATCTATCAATATTAAGTGGTTTTACAACTCCGCTTTCATGATGGTGCTTACACGACGAGTCCTCTATGCTGATCTGTTTTCGATTACTTCAGAGCTTTATAAAATGAACTACAAAAACACAATTTTAAAAACTGGCATTCATCACCAGTGACCACGTCCAAGAGTAAGAAAATAGAAAAGTTGGACCCTGAAGAGCCAGCCTAATTTTTATTGTACGTGAATGTCCTCTTCACAAAAAGTCAGCTGGTTTAAATTCATTCTGTTATGATTTGTAATATCTAAATGGAATTTTCTTCAAAGCGCCCTTGATTGATTGACCCTTAGCTGAACGTTTTGTTTTTATTTTGAGGCTGACAATAATGTTTGTTGGCATGTGTTCCGCTTCAACTGCGTTGGGACGCCATGAAGCTATCTTTATGAGTCATCCAACCACAATACTAAATACATGTCAGCAAAGGAAATATTATCTGAAAAGGGAAAAATCCCTTTGATGTGCTTCAACATGCAGAGATTTCTGCGAGTTTTGGAAGCTCTGCCCGCTTGTAAGGAAGGGTGTACGCTTACACATTTTTTTCCCCCTTTCGGCCTACTCCGTGCCTCAGAAGACCACCCATTGCTCAAAAACAGTTCTGTTCTTTCAGCGGCAAAGTGTGTCATTTGGTTTTAGCACATTCATTTGCCGGGCGCTGTGTTTACATTAAGGGAAGCCAAACCGAGAGATGAAATGTTACGAGGGTGAAGTACAAAGTAGACTCAATTTTTCTCAAGTTAGGAGATGCCAGTGATTTATAGTCTGCTCCAATTTTGCTTTTTTTTTTTTAAATGTAGCACTGGAAAGAATTAATAAAATGCACAGCTCTTAGAGATGCAGAGGGAGGAAGGGTAGCGAGGGCCGGACAACCGGCTGGAGTTTTTGTCAGATATTCATAGAATGTTGGGAAAAACATTCTGCTTAGCTAGCAGTGCCCTCGTGAGACAGAATGGCAGCAAGTAAGGAAAATAACAAGATAAATGAAATTTTTGCAGCTGCAAGTAAAATATTGAGAATCTGCACTTTTTTATTGATCTTTATGATCCTATTGCCAAGAGCCACTTTGTGGTGACAAAATATGTTGACAAGTGCATAGCTCACTGCCATGAAAAATGTGGAGAAGGATTCGCCTTATGTCTGCAGTGTTATACAAGGAACAAATTGCCCTGCTACAGCCAATTCCTTACAGAAAGGAGAAATTTAAGGCCCACCAACCCTACACACTTTTATCTTGAACTTGAGGCTAATATTTATAGCAATTCTTCATTGAGAAAACCAGTCGCAGTCTCCTCATTCTTTTTTTTTTTTTTGCCTGTAGATTTTTCTTTACCATACCAAAGCTGTTATAAAAAAATGTTTATTTCTTGGTACCTTCACTGTATCATTTCAGAGTGTAATCTTTCAGCCAGAGTAAAGTGCTCCTCTTGTATTTATTGAATTTCCATCCATTTCACATAAGAGGGTTTTTCTCTTCTCCTGTATCAAACTTCAGGAGAAAGGCAGTGGAGAAGGATTTTATTTCTCTTAATCTTTATATCACAAAGCTGCTTAATTTTATTACAAATTTGGGAACTCCCAATGTCAAGTTGCAAGTATACACTTAGTGCTTTTCCTTAAAATAATAAATGCATCGTATTTGTTTATATATGAGGTTGGGGTACCAGTGCCCTTGTAATTTGCCATGCCAATTAGCATGAGATGGAATTTTTTAAAAAATGAACTCGTCCTTTCTGCTACCCCCTGGCCAAATATCTGTCTCTTCAGCCAAGAAGTTCTATGATGGGACACTGTGGAAATAAACTGCATACTGTTAATCATGCTGAGTTACAGGCTCTAATTGGTTGTTGGGACAATAAGGTGGGTGTAGATTTATTACAAACAGAAACTGTTTAGGTGGAGCTGGGCAGAACTTTTTGGGGGCAATAAAAATGTGGGTGGGGGCACATGAGTCCTGCACATTACTAAGCTGGGTTTTCTTTTGTTTTGAATAGGTCGAATATATTCTACCGAGCCTGTATAGATATCCCCAGGGGCACCGAGCTTCTGGTGTGGTACAATGACAGCTATACGTCTTTCTTTGGGATCCCCTTACAATGCATTGCCCAGGATGAAAACTGTAAGAATTTATTTTAGCTCTAAATTTGCATCTCAAAATACCTATTTCAAAGCTAACATTGTAAGAGTGTGTTTTGAAACTCCTGAAACATTGTTCACTAGGATATGTAAGGCAAACATGCACAAGTCTGTTCTATCATTTTCTTTTCCTGTATGTGGTGTGCTTTCTCACAGGACATCTTAACCTGTACGAGTCAATCCCTTCTCACCTATTCACAATTTCAAAGCCTTTGTCAGAGTTTTAAACAATAGCTTTCAGCAAAGTTAAGTCAGCAGGTATGCACCGAGCACCTACTGAGTGTCTGGTTCTATACTTGCTACCTTGGAGGGACTGCAAGAGCAGTGTAAGATACAACTGCTGCTCTGAAGGGGTACACAGTCCTGTTAGAGCCGTACTGTATGCAAAAATGAAAAAAGAAAATAATGCCATTGAATCAGGGGTAACACCACCTCCAGTTGATGGGGTGTGCATACTCCTACATAGTCGTTGGAATGAGAAATGGTAGTAAATATTGTAGAGATATGACTGGGAAAGTTGTGTCTTTCTAAATTTTTTGTCTAAAACTATGTCTGGAAACATGTAATTTTCTTTTGTCTTTATTACCATGCCAGCTATCTTTAAAAGAGTAACATCTGGGCAAACGTGAGCTTGCAGCAACTTTCACATAAACTTTTAATTTTTGTTTTATCAATCCTTTAGAAACTATCATAAGGTGATTTCTAGCATTTGGAACAGAATTAGGTAATTCTGATGTGTTCCAGTGAGAAATGCTGGTTTCAGTGATACTGTGTTTTCTTGTCACTAAATTTGTGACTGATAATTTGATATTATGCTATAACAAGAAACAAAGATATATTTTGGTAGTGGATAAGACACTTCATTTTGAAAAAAGAGTTGTTTTTCTGTTTTCTTTTCCACTTTCTTATAAGTACATGTGCGTGTGCGCGTGTGCGCGCACGCACGTGCACACACACACACATACCCACACTCCAGTTTTAAAATGCTCATGTTACTACTGATCAAAATGCTGATGATCAGATATTTCTTTCTCATGTTGTCTTTAATCTCTCTATAAAAAGTAAAGTCCTCAAAAATCCTATTGCCATTAACTTTCCTTTTCTATTTTACTCTAACCCCAAACCAATCTCAAATCAAAAATGAATCTTTGGACTTGCAGTACATTCCTCTTACTTCCTAAGTTTCCATTGGAAAGTTTCTTTTCTGCAGCAATGCTCCTGTTTTCATAGGAGAAAATCTCAGTGTTGGACATGAGAGTGCAGTTGGTGTGAAAGGCAGATGTGGACACAGAGGCCACTGTGCTTTGCCTTGGCCAGAATGGCTCCATGCCCCACCTCCCCTGAAACCAGATCTTGATCTGTGCACAGAAAAATGCCAGCATCAGCCCCTCCAGCCCCTACCCTCTGATCTGTTGATGTGGACTTGTCTATCCATTGGAACCTTGACATAACTTCATCTTCTAAAGTGTGGAATTTGATCCAAAAGGATTCCAGAAGTCCTGTGAGGTCCTCTGCTTCCTCCTTTCATACAACCCATTATAGACTCTGAAGGTGTTGTTGTGGTTTATGTGTTGAGAGATGTCTGGGAGTAAATGTATCGAGGTCTGGAGTTCCAAAGTACATAGCACACAGTCCAAATATTCATCCGTCAATTCATTGCTCATGAGCCAGTATCTTTTCTGGGTGCTGCATATGCATCAGTGAACAAAACAGACAAGAATTCCTGTCCTCATGGAGCTTACATTCTAGTGGAAGGAGACAGATAATCAACAAATATTTAAGTGAATAAGTAGTTTATCAGATGGTGGTAAGTGTTGTGTGGTTAATAAAACAGAAAAGAGGTAAGAAATGCCAGGAGTTGGGAGTTACAGTTTCAGAGAGTGGTCAGGGTAGGTCCCACTGGAAAGGTGACCTTTGGGCAAAAGGCTTAAGGTGGTGAAGAAACAAACCACACGTCAGTAGGGAAAAGAGCATTCCAGGCAGCAGGACTAAAAGTATAAAGACCCCAACACAGGAATGTTCTTGGTGTGTTGGGAGAGTGTCACCAAGGCCAGTGTGGGTACGGGAAAGTGAGTGAGGTGGGAAGAGGTTAGCTTAGACATGGGAAGGTGCAGCGGCAGGGATTTTGTAGGGCCCTGAAGGCCACTGTTAAGGCCCTGGCTCTGACTTTGTGTGAACCAGGCAAAGGGGGCTGAGTAGAGCTTTGGGCAGAAGAGAAATCTGACAAGTTTTAATAGATTTACTTTGTCTACTGAGTGGAGGCGAGACAGTAAGTGTGTGGGGGTACAGGGAGTCCAGTGAGAGGAATTCAGGGGAGAGATGATGGTGGTTTGGACCAGCATGGAGGTGGTAGAGGTGGTGAGAAGTAGTTGGATTCTCGATATGTTTTGAAAGTAAAACCAGCAGCATTTTCTGACAGATGCTGAGTGACAGAGAAAGAGGAGTCAAAGATGACTCTGAGGCTTTTGGTTTGAGGAGCTGGAAGGAGAGCACGAGCACCTACTGAGCCCTGAGACAGAAATGGAAACCATGAAATGACCTCGTAGGGCATGCATCTGTTACTCTTGACATGGATCTCTTGGGTGGGGGACTCTCAGTCACGTGTTGCTTCCTCCTAACAATGCTGCTTTACGTGAACTGGAGGGCATGAGGGATTGAGGTGGGACATTTTGGGGTCTGTTCACAGCCACCTAATAATGGGTACCTAAGGGCATATCACCTAGCCTTCAGATATGGTGCCACAGTGCCAAAAATGTACTTTCTGGAAACAACACAGGGTTTGCTTTTCAGTCCTCCACTGTAGTCCAGCCTGTGTGACGCATTCTTGAGGCTGACAATTAAAGTATTGAATAAACTATACCAGGGCATATGTTATATCATTTAGCACTTGAAATCCTTGATAGAAAATTTGCAAAGCCACCAAAGCTTGAAGTATTGTGGACTCAGTAGGGAACTAAGCTGCTCTTTTGGGTTCAGTTCAGAGCTCAAATAAGGGTTATGGGGAGTCTAAAAGGAATTAAGTCACTGACTAAAATGCTCCGCTGTGACAATCCCCTTCCCCCAAGGGTATTATAGGAATTTTATTTCAGTTCCTGTCTCAAAGTCATATATCTGTCATGTGATTGGCCACCCAAGAAAACAGCAGAAGGCTTCATCAGATAGTGTGGGGGAGATATATGACTTTGACTCTAACTGTAAGATGGATTCTCATTCCATATGATTCACTGAGAGACCTGGGAATGCTTTATAATGAGGGTTCCTTATTCTATGCTGAGAAAATACTCTGTGTGATTTAGAAGCACAAATGTGCGAAAGGGCACAGACAGATAATTTAACAGATAGCCTTCCACAGTCCTGGTAATTTAAATCATCTCCACTGGATTAGCAATTCTAAGAACAATTTTTATCCCACTGAGCCAGCCACAAAATAAATTAGGTACCTTAAAAAATAAGCTTCTTGAGATCAGAGACATATTGGATAAAATACCTCCACAGAGCCTCCTTATAGTGCTCTGCACACAGTAAACAATTAATAAATGCTCACTGGATAAATACCGCGATTTTTTTTTGTTGTTGCCATTATTAGAAAGGATCAAATATTTCAGTCACATTTTTCTTTGTTGATGAAATTGATACCTGGACCAAGACATTCAAGGAAAATGTGATTTTACTTAGTGAATAATACTTATTAAGCACTTCCATTTATAGAAATATAATTTTCTTCCCATGGTTCTTTCAACATGAAAAGTACACATTTCCTATTGAGCGTGTGCAGTGGGTTTGGGCTCAGTAAGCAGCTCCCTCGGCCGGTGGCCCCATAGCAGGGGCAGCTGTGGGTACACTTGCTGTCTGGACAGCCCACTGAAAGCCGCCTTGACTCAAAGAGAAGACAGCGGTTCACACAGGCATTTGGGTTCTGGAAGCAATTCCTATGTTATTTTCTTTTGAAAAAAGTCACATTGTAAATGTAATAGAGCTCCAAAGGGAGAGTCCCTCCATCCACTGTGGGCCTTTCAAAGAGCCTGAAGGAAGGCCTGTGTCGACAGATCGCATCCGCAAGAAGGAATGAGGTTCCCCAAAGCTTCCAGTGGGGGATTAGCTCCTGCAGAGTGTAAAGACCGTAGTGTATTCATATTCGTTTCAGAGGAAATTAAAAAAAAAACCTAGGAATAAATGTTAAACAAGTCTTCCTGCTGCTTTTTCTGTCTCAGCATATGAAGCTGAGGTAGCAGAATGTGAAACTTGATGGCAATGCGGGAGTTACTATGTTGGAGTAAACCCTGCCGGGAGGAGGCCTGCCTTTTCCTTTTGATTTTAAAAAGCAGAAGATAAAAAGGGGGACCTCTGCAGAGTGCCCTCACCCCCATTGTCCTACCAGCAATGAGAAGCTAGGTCAGGGTAAAGAAGGCATGACTCCTGCCCTTACCCATGCCCCTCCGAAGATGACAGTACAGTTCAGGTGCAGGACAATCCCTGTGCAGGGCCTAAAGGAAGCATTGTGATGAGGTGCAAAAACCCAAGCCCCGCCCTAGAGGAACTCAGTCTAGAAGAAGGCACATAGGCACACAACTACAATATAAAACTCAGCTGTCGCATGAGATGGCCCTGAGCTCTGGGTTGACAGGCTATTAATGCAACTGATAGGAGTCAAGGTTCCAGGCCCCTTGTGTACAGTGCAAAGCCGGGGTTGGAGTTTTTGCATAAGTCCAGAGCCTCCTCATAGTGCTATGCAAACAGTAAACAGAAGGTACTGTCCTGACCCTGAATGGGGACTAGGAAAAATATTACCCTCAAGCCAATAGACCAAGGAACTGTCCATCTTGAGCCATTGGTGAGAGCAAAGTCCCACTCTAAATAGGGCTTGATTTTGGACTATCTCCCAGATGTGGAAACCCTGGGCCAAGAAATGAATATAAAAAGTGGTCCAGAACTGTTGAAACCTGTAGGTTTCTAGAAGAAACAAAGAAGTCACCCCACAGGGAT